CCCAAACCCCAAACCCCAAACCCCAAACCCCAAACCCCAAACCCCAAACCCCAAACCCCAAACCCCAAACCCCAAACCCCAACCCCAAACCCTAAGTTGCGAGCATGGACGGCCTGCTCCCAGCTGTGCTCGAGCAAGTTGATGAAGGGCACGCCGAGATCCTGTCAAAGCAGCTGGGGCTCCGAGTGGGAACCCCCAAAGCAAAGAATAACTATAGTACACATATGTATATACGTATATATGTACATATATATATATATTTATATTTAGGAAGGTATGTGTATAAATAAAGAAACAAATAAATAAATAAATACGTAAACAAATATATAAATACATATATGTGTATCTACATATGGACACCACCTCCCCCCTCTCATGACCTACCCTTCTCTGTTTTCCCTGTAAATGCCGTCTACTACGTACGTACTAGCATAAAATAGGGGATTTCTTAGCTCATGGGGGGAGCTATATGTATATATATATATATACATATATATTTATGTATATAGCGCCTGCAGTGTACGGGCGCTCGGCTTGTCTAAGATGTCGAGGAGCAACGCCTCCTTCCCAAGGTAGTGAGTCCTGGCAACAAAAAAGGTTTAGGGTTCAGGGTTTTCAGGGTTTATAGTATGGCTCCTGGACTTTGCAATAAGCGGAGGCTGAAGTCAAAGTTTGCTATTCATCAAAGTGATGGTAGGAGCTACTTCCTCAGAAGCCCAAAAGCGCGTCCCATGCAAGTCTCGCAAGTGCCCAGTGGCCTATGCTCGGGAAGCCTCAAGAGCGTCATGTCCTTGGATCAAGCTTCAGTTTGTCAATCTGAATCATGGTATACACACTTAGATTTCAGCAGGCCCATGTTGGTTACAGCCTCCTCTGCAGGAGAACTTAAATAGGATGGTGTTGACGATCGACTTCGCCCAGCTGACACAAAACTGAGGGCTGCAGAGAAGTCACAGCCCCAAAGCTCCAAGTCCTTCAAGAACGCAAGATAACAGCGCAAGCCGTCCAGGAGCGCGGCTCATCCATCCTAACTCTGAACTCTAAACCCTGAATCCTTGAAACCCATTGCTCAGCAAGGGGCATCGTACTCGACTCCAGCGGCGGCCAGCAGGCGCAGCGTTGAGTTCAGCGGGTCCTTCGGACGCGGCCGTGTCTCTCTCTCTCTCGAGCTCCACACTCTATAATTGGTTTTGACGCAGGATTTCGCATCCTGGTCCGTGTCCGAGAATAAAGATCGACGGCTGATACATATGAACATGGTATGTAACCAAATAAAGAAGAGAGAGATATACGCACATATATATATATATATACATATATATATATATATGTATATATACGATGGGTGGCAAAATGCCTATAGATAGATACTAGTATCTATCTATCTATCCATCTATCTACATATACATATATATGTATCATATTGAAGTATATTATAAAACACCCGTACCCAGACCCTAAACCATCCGGTAGGGGTCCTGGGGCTGGTCTTCGGGAACTGCCAGGATGCGGATGAAGAAGCTCCTGGCAGTTCCGTCTCTCTCTGCACAGCTCCACGCCAGCATAGCTCATATAAATGGAAGCTTGTAGTCAAGAAAAGACTATCTTACAACCTATTTTCATACGGTTTAAGACCTAGTAGGACAGAGTGGAATCGAATATTGGGTTTGGGTGTTTCCAAAATGTACATGGAACTTGCTATGCTTCTGCGAGTTCCACACACAAAAGGATGCATATTTTTTTCAAGAACTTCTTAGGCTCGGGGGAGAAGGGCTCTGTAGCCAAACGACACAAATTCCCCACCTCAATGCTAGTGCTCCGTCAACCCATAAAGCCTAATCCCCACAAACCTCAGCTAGTGACTAGTGGCAGGTGGTTGGCTCCTCTGCAGCTGTCGCAATGCAGCTGCCGCGGATGGTGCCAAGGACACCTATTGTGAAGGTTTTACGAGCAGCTCCTTTTGTGGATGCTGGCATCTTGTGATGCTCCTTTTCGCGGTTTCTTATGCAGCTTATGCTTGGGTCTGACCGTCGCCCTGAAGGGATCCGAGAGTTTGCAACGACTCGGCCACTATGCTCCCAGGTCCGGGGGTTCGGTGATTCAAAACGACCTCTGGCCACAGATTGCATTGCAGCCTCCAGCTCCCTCTCCCCTAAGAAGCGGCAAGGCAGCGGACATGCGGGCAGTCTGAAGCAGCCCGGAACCGGAAAATGCTGACAAAGCAAGGCAAAGGCAAGCAGCACGGACATGCATGGATGCCAACAGTGCGCTGGGCAACTATACAGTTCCTTCAATGCCGGTTGGAGACCTCGTCCTTCTCATTCCCATGCCACAAAGCCGGCATGCCTGGGCTGAGAGGGTTGAAGAGCTACAAGTTCAATCTTTGACCCTTTTACCGTCTAAACCCCCAGTACAGAGCAAGTCCTTTTGGGCTCCGGCCGATGAAGAGATGTCGCTTGCTCCGACGGTGCCTGGCTCTGTATCATGGCATCATGACAGGGTGTCGGTGCTGATTTCGCAACTAGTAATCGTGACAATAGCACAAAGATACCTAGGAATAGGACGCTAATCGTAGTGATGATGATGATGATAATAGCAGCCATGGCAGCCACAAAGTCCAAGGACAGCAAGGCGTACCGATCCACAACCTCAGCGAGCAAGATTTGAGCAGTTGGGCAGCAAGAGAATTGTAACAAAAACACACGAATGCCGGCCATGCTGCTGTGCTGCCGCTACCGTGCAGCCATGCAATGTGAGCGGAATCAGGGCACAGTTGGTGCTGAGAACTTCAGACGGACTACACATTACACCTCCGACTCTTGAGGTGCCTCTGACGTGATAGCAATCCCATGACATGATACTACTTCTGTAGAAAGCGCTGCAAGCAGAGCATATTCCAGGCGCATGAACTATTGCTGCAACGCTTCCTTCCGCACGGAAGCAGCCCAAGCGAGATCCACTTTAGGGCTAACGTTCGAAACCCTGGAACCCACAGCAGGCTACCTAAGCCACAAGACTCCCTGAACCCTCAATCCTAAACCCTAAACCCCAAACCTCTGAGGCAACCTGAACCCTAAACCCTAAACCCTAAACCCTAAACCCTAAACCCTAAACCCTAAACCCTAAACCCTAAACCCTAAACCTCTGAGCCGCCCCTAACCTTCCAAGCCCAGTGGCTGCCAAGGCCATGGCCTCGGCCCATTTGCGGCCTGGGGCAAGAACGGGCTTCAGGGGGCTTAACTTGAGATGTCTGCCTTTATACTAGTATTATAATCCCTTCTAAGGACTGTTTGTCTAGGGGGAACATCCCAAGGCTTAACCCCTAAACCACAAACCCCGAACCCCAAATGGCTTTGGGGGTGTGCTTTAGACTTAGGTTTTGAGCTCAGGGCTTTGCAGTGTTCAGGGTTCCAGTAGCTTGCAAGTCCAGAGTGACAAAATGGAGCGCGCGGAGTCTTTTGCAGTGGCCATGTGAACCAACAACGTCACGGCCCTTCGGCAAGTATCCTGCACCGCAAACCCTCGTTGCTCCAACTATATGGGTGGTTGTCAAAATTGTGGTCCCTTTTTGGATCCCTATTTATAATACAGCACCTAATATCTAGGGTACCCAAAAAAGGGTGCCGCCCATGTAGACTCTATCAACACGAAGCCCGTCTTCGGGAATCCGGCGGATGCCGATGTAGGCATTGCGAAAGCCCTGCAGGCTGTGGCGGGCTCCGGTTTCGGATTCAATTCCCTGGCTTGCAGCTTGGGGCATTCTTTTTAAAATCGAATGTGCTCATGGCATCCCAACAAAGGGAGATTTAGAGGGTGTGATGCTTAAGGCTTTTTTTCTTCTGCCTGCGAGTACACAGGAAGCACCTCGCAGCAAAAAGTCATAGACACAGCCTCGCTTTCGACTCAATGCTCCTACCTACCCGCGACAGTCAACTTTGCAAAGGAGCTGTGAAGCGGGGTGGCTGAGCAGGAAAGAAAGCTCGAGGAAAAGTGCAAAACCAATCCTCACGAACACCGGTGCATTAACACACGTCCCGCTTAAACATTAACTGCTGCTTGTCATTCCATCTGAAAAAACACAACTCTAAACAGCAAAGCCTCAGACCCGAAATCCTAAATTCCCAACCAAACAGTATTACTAACCTTATCCCCCCCGCGGCGCAGGGCCTTGGTGTGCTTGAACTCTGCATAGCCCTCTTTCCAGTCGGGTGGGCTTGGCGGGTTGATGTCGCTGGTGGGAGAGACCTGGCACCATGGCATATCTCGAGGGTGAAGGGTTTGATGGCTTAGGATGTCGGATTTTGAGGTTGAGGGTGTTGTTAGCATGTGAACCGTCGGTCTTAGCTACTTGGTAGTTGGGGCATGAAAGCCCTGTCAGGATTCTCCTGCAGCGCGCCTCTGAACAATTCCCACCTGCCTACAGTTGCTTCACATAGCAAACGTCCTGGCTCACCTTTTCGCAAAGAGTATGCGGTTTATATTTGCCCTGGAGCTTCGTAGGTTTCTAGGTTCTGCGGGCAAGCCTCGTCAAAAAAATTAGGCTTGCTCAAAGCGCTTGTCTCTATTCCGGTTCAGGAAGCTTAGCAGATTCCCAAGCGGTCTATGAATCTTAAGGAAGGATGAAAATAAGACCTGCTTTGCGTGGGGAGAAGGCCGGCTTGGCAATCGAAAACATTTGTACATATTGAGCTTGTCAAGGTTGAGGTGATTCTAGAGGCATGCTGGAGGTGGAATATTTCTTAAGCATCATGCATGCTCTAAGCTTGACCAGGCGACCAGAGCTTGCACAACATCATGCGCGGCTAATAGGCTAAAGGCGCGTCGATCTTGCTGCGGCTGCCTCCAAAGTGAACGGCTCCTTCTGAAGATCCGGGTTCTTCTCCTGCCAGATGAGGTCCACGCCTTGCATCAGGCGACTTCTACTCCGCTGGCCCAGAACCTTCGCGTGCAGACGTGGAATCTGTGCAAGCTGATACTAAGTTGGTGCCTCCGACTGGGATTCCAGTCTGGTTGGCGAAGCGCGCCACAAATGGGGCCAGCTCCGACAGGGGGAAGTTGAAATCCTGTGAGATCAGGGGTTGCCAAGATGCTGCATCCATGCTGGAGCAGATGCGGTAGGATGTGGTTCCTGCCTCTATGCTATCAGACATATGAACCGTGCAATGTCGCCCAAGCTGCGTGCTAAGGTCTAGGTACACGCCCTTGCGCGCCGTCAACTGTCAACTGCCAGGTCGGAGACTGCCAAAAGGGGATGAGGGTTGTCCAACAAATCCCTCATAAAACCGACCACCAGAACAAAAACCATAAACAACCCCAAAGGCTCAAACGGAACCTCCTTTTTCAATTAAAAGAAGCCCGCATGCAAAAAGTTTTCATGGGCCTGGTAGCCCCCCCGTGTCGAGGCTGCCGATGCACTTTTGAGGCTTTGCCTTGTAATTGCAGTTGGTTAGGGCTTCGGGTCTGTATCGGTCGCCAGAAACTAAGAAGCAGGGATGCTTGATGAAACATTTGCCAATTTCACGAAATCCGAACTCAACTTGCAATTCACCTTTGTGTGTGGCCGTCATCCATCTCACCACGTCGTCGTTCTATGCTCACTCTCTCTCTCTCTATGTTTATGCCAGGCGACCAGCTCACATTTCATGACTTGTCTCGCCCTAGAAATCAAGTATTCTGGGGGGCTCAGGGCGTATCCTGAATTCGATCGCAGCCTTCTCACTTCCAAGGTGCCGGATGCGCCAGTAGCCATGAAAAGGGCGGCCGTCCACGTATGTGACGCGTGCCTCTCCGCAGGCTAAGTTGCCCCCCGGCCCCCCTCCCACCGAATGGCGCCCTGTTTACACGGCCCACGGTTTTATATGGTGTTAGCAAGTAACAGGGAGGAGTTTATGTAAGTTTCAAAGGGGCAGCGATGACCGGCAATTGATTTTACAGGCGCGCCGCGTGGAATTTTCTTACGGCACCCGGACGATTTCACTTAATTCAGACTCCCACCGCGCGCCCCCAAACAGTCAGGGTGTCCTGAATAGCCCAGCCAACTTGACTTTATTCAGGAAGCCCCCACAAAACAGGGTGCAACGTTGCTAGTGAACGCTAGGAAGTAGGGGTTCAAGGGGTTAAAGTGTTCATTCCACGCTTGTGCTCCTGGCCCCATCCTACTGAGGGTTTCCGAGCGGCCTCTCGGAGGGCTTGGACCTTTTTCTGCACCAGGGCCTCCACCCCAGGCTTGGCCTGCCAGGGTTTAGGCTTTAGGGTTTAGGGTTTAGTAGGGTCCAGGACCTTCGGGTATTATGTTGGGTATTCATGCATACATGCACTCGTACATATACAAAATAGCGGAAGATAAGGCTTGCAAGTTTGGAGACGTTTCGCAAGTCAAGGGGCTTCCCAGACCCGAAACTCACAGAACTATCAGGCCCAAACTGCTGCAAAACCCTAAACCCTAAACCCTAAACCCTAAACCCTAAACCCTAAACCCTAAACCCTAAACCCTAAACCCTAAACCCTAAGCGAATCAAGCCCTGAAGCATGCCCCTCAAACCTTGAGACGCATCGACTCAGAGCTGAAGTCATCGTGTGAATCTTCATGCATTTTGCTGCGCGGTGTGTTGTGATTCGCACCCAGTCAGCCCTGAATACGAAGCAGAATTCTCCCTGCCCGTTTGGCTGATAGGCTTAGAAGGAGGAACTGGAGGAAACAGAGCCAGCGCAATGCGTGACAGCTTTGACTTGAGGGGCGTGCGCAGCATTTGCGCCCGCGAGCGAGTATTGCCAACACTGCTGAAGTTTCATGTCCTTTGGGAGAGCTGTGCCCGCAAGAGTTCACGAACAATCGTGACACCACGTGAACCCCAGCTGCCCCAAAAAAGCTTCGGAACCGGCAACCTGCCTTGGAGAAGAACTCCTTCAAAGCCTCATGTGCAAGTTTTCCAGTTTCTCTTTCTCCCGGTCTCTCTGTAGCATGCTGTCGCTAAAGACGCTAAAGGCACAACTCAAGGAAGTCTCAGCTCTACGTCCCCTTCCCCGGCCTGTGTCAGCTCGGACAGCGTCTCTGCCTGCAGCCTGTTTGAGATCCCAGTGCCAGGGCTGCAAGCAGATTTCAGAAAAAAACCCATGCAGCAAACAGCCGCCGAATGCAAACCCGAAAAGCAGCTGAGCGCAGCGCAAGCCAATACTGGAGTAACCGTACGGATCCTGCACGCAGGTCGCGGTTTAGGGTTTAGGGTTTAGGGTGTAGGGTTTAGGGTTTAGGTCTGGCTGGTCACGACGTGGGCTTCACTGGGCTTGGGTGCATGTCGGAAACCTACGGCTTGGTGTGCTTTGGGGCCATAATAATTAGAATAGGGTTTTTTGGGGGGCTGTTAGAATTCCCATAAGGGAAGATGATTAGTAGGTCTTAAACAGGGAATATGATTAGTAGGTCTTAAAGGCAATATGATTAGTAGGTCACTAAAAAGGGCTGCCTTGATGACCACGGGCAGCTGCACTTCCTCTTTGCGGGCCATGGCATCAGCCAGGTCGCGGAATACCTTCAGGACTTCAGCCGCTAAGCATTCTGGCACAGTATTTGAGCAGAACTGTTTAAGAGCCTCTTTGAAAGATCTTCTTCTCCCGATGTGTAAGACGGGCCATCTATCCTCAGGTGCCTAAGTCTAGTCCTTATGCCAACACTTTCCTTGGCAGCCAATGGGGTCGAAAAACAACTTGGAGTGTCTTGTTGCATCTATTTTCCGGGAGAAAGAGGCCTTAGTTGCCGTGGTCGCACGGCGCCTGCGGCCTGCTCTTTGGACCACAATCGCGCTCTCGCCCAAGCGAAAGCTTCGGCTCGGAGTTCTTGGGGGCTCCCGAAACATGGCTGTCATCGCAAGTCGTATACTGCCTGGCCTCGCCGAGGGTGCCAAATCGAGCTCTCACATAAGTCCCGTGCGCATTCCGTGCTCGAAGCCGTGCTCCCAGCCATATCCCAAGCACTTTCTGAGGCTTGCGCCCTTCCCTGTCGCGAAGACGTGGAAGGCGCCTGCTTTCTTGCACTTGCATTGTGGGCTTTTGGACAGGCTCGTTGCGTGCGCCCAGTCAATATTTAGGGGCAATTGCCATTTCGCGGTGTTGCGGAGCACGCTCTCTCGCCTCGGTCCCCGTCGCTGTTTTTGGTTACAAACTATGTGGACAGGGCGTCTGGAACAGGGCGTCCGAAGCTCCAGTGGCTGTCGACTTTTGTAGTACAAGCCCAGTACGACATCGTTCTCTCATCACGGTCCCAAGAAGAGAACCTCCAGGGTGGGGAGGGGGGGGGGTCGGTGATAGGCAGGGTCGGTGATTTGGGGGGGCGAGGGGGGGGAGGGAGATGGGGGGTCGGTGACGGGGGGGAAGGTGGCCGGTAATGGGTGGAAGGGACTCTAGTTAAACCGAAAAAAACCTCCCTCATTGAAAAAAACATGAGCATTTGAACATGTTGGTTTTCAACGTTGATGCTTTTTGTTTACAGGTTCGCCGTTTAAAGGGATTTCCCAGTCATTTGATCGTTTTTGTTGCATCTGTTGTTGGTTCCCCCGTAAACACCATGTTCGCATCTCTCGTTCCGTCTTGCATTTCTTTCCTTCTCTCGTGGCTTTGTTTACATACTTCTTTCTGTATATATATATATGTAGTATATATATATATATCTACATATGTATATATGCTTCTTTCCTTAGCTGAGGTGCCCAGGTCATTGGCATCTGCACGCGAGCGCCCTGGAAGAGCTCGGTGAGGGCCACCTAAAAACCGCAACATGGCCATCGAGTGCGGAATCCATGACTCATTTCTTGGCTACACTCAGAAGGGTAGCTAAACATTAAAATTTTAGCTGCCTTATTAAGAAACCCAATAAACCCAAAATGGCTAAGGATCTAAAGTTACAGCAAAGTACCACAAAGAATTTATATGATCATATATTGGTGTACTCCTGTATTGTTCTACTGTTGGTATTATGCCCCCGGTGTGCAAGCTGCGTGGACAGAGCATTCAATCAACACAGTTTGAGGCTACACGTGGGAAAAAGTCCACGAGTGGCACAGTGGCTCGAGGGCCAGCTGTTGATTCAAAGTCGAGACTTCGAGAGTCAACTTGAGCCGACCTCCGCCGAACACAGAATCAGAACCCTTGGACTCCCTTTAGGGGCAAACGCTGGAACCCTGGAATCAGACCCTTGGATTCCTTTTTGGGGGCAAAGGAGGGGACCCTGGGCCTTGTTCTCGTAGTACTTGTAGCAGGCAGGGGGTGGGTAGAGCACGGCGCCCGTCTCCTCGAAGCTGCCGAAGAACTCGGCGAAGGCATAGGGCATGCGCTTCTCGAAGACCTCTCGCGTGCTGAGAGGGTTTAGGGTGGTTTAGGGTTTAGGGTTTAAGGTTTAGGGTTTAGGGTCTAAGGTTTGCGTTTTAGGATTTTGGGATCCGACCCTGGCTCTAAACCAGAAACTGTCCTCCCCGGGGAGGAGGTCCAGGTTGAACTCGTCGTGGTGACCTTGCCGCTCTTCAAGTCAGTTGCCTAGGGGCACTCCTTGTGTAACCCTTTACACTCAAAAACCCTTTGAACGAAGACGCCTTCGAGCCCTACAGAGCCCAGATCAAGAAAAAAAGAACAAACGCAAGCCAATCGGCCCTTAGACCCAAAAGTTCCAGCTCTTCCCAGTGCGAGCACTTACCGCTGCCAGGCGACTCGCTCGCCACAGGTAGGCGACCCCAGGAAGAGTGTCCTGGGGCCTGCTTGGAGTTTAATTCTCAGGGCGGAGTGGAGCTTGTAGACCCCCCAATTTAAGGTTTCCAGGGTTTGTAAGGACATCTCCGGGATGGTCGAATCCTTCAGCGCATGTTGCTGCGTCATGCCCCTGTTTCACCAGCATGAAGATGAATCCCTAGAGGAGCCCTGTAGGCAGACTCGGAAAACTCGCAATTGCTTGGCAGGATTTGTAAAGAATGCCCGAAGACTGATCGCCCCCCCCCCCCCCCCCGGGGAAGTCCGTGGGCGCCCGCCTGTCTGCAAGGTGTGGCTCCACACCCACCGTGGGGAAGGTCTGGAAGAAGAGCTCTCGATGGATCTCCTTCCTCCTGCGCCTTCGTCTTCGGGCCCTAAACCCTAAACCCTAAACCCTAAACCCTAAACCCTAAACCCTAAACCCTAAACCCTGGGAGCTTCCGGGCTGGTGTAGGGGCTCTTAAGCCCGGTTGAGGGCTTCGGCCCTAAGCAGCTCTCATGGCTCCTCCTTCAGTTCTGACACTCAGCAGGGTTTAGAATGGTTTAGATCCTTTAAGGCTCAGTGCATAGGGCTTGTAGGGTTTAGGTTGTTTAGGCTACATGCTTCAGGTGGCGCCTCTTGGTCGGATCGTAGTCCTTGGCCTTCCTCGGGTTTCTACTGCAAGCCAGCATGCTCCGTGTGTATGTAGGCCCTTTCTGGGGGACGCCTGTATAAGAGACACGTGATGCACGCAACATCGCATTTTTGTCTGCCGTCAGCCGGATGTGTCCAAACATTGAAGATCTCTTTGACCCCCAGTCCCCAGTCTCCTCAAACCATCTCAGAAAGCTGTCCGTGTAACACTCTCAGGATCCCCTTCGTGGAGGCCTCATGCCAAGTATCTTGTTAGGCTTGTGCACGAACTCCACAAAGCCCATGCGCGGGGACAGGGGGAAAACCACAGCCCGCAACTGTGAGATCTTTGTCCTGACGAGCGATATCGGTTTGGGTTTAGGGTTTAAGGTTTAGGTTTAGGTCTCATGTATGGTTTAGGGCTGCTCTAGTGCGAGCAGGATGATTATAAGTTCCTTCTTTCCTTATTCTCATTGTAGTCACTACTATCATGATTATCGCCTTCACTTCTATCACTGCTATTATCATCGTTCCTCCAGGTCCTAATTATATTTACTATTATGCGGTCATCATTGTTTTAGGTTATTAAAATTCATCAGGTGCGCACCCAGGCACAGATCCACATTGCCCGGAGTGGAGAAGCGTAGCTTGCTGGTGCCAAAGGGGCCCTGGAGAGGAAGCTTGAAGTTCTTGGCCCCCTGGAAGTTAACGCGTACGGGGCTTGGCGTTTGCAGGGCTCAAACGCAAAAGCGCTTCATGGACAGGTATCAAAAGGTTTTTCACAGCATTGTCAAGGGGTCTTACACAGGTTTTCGGGGGAGGAATTGGCTTAAGAGTAAAAAGCCTTCGGACAGGACCCAGCCTCGGCTTCCTTGGAATACGCTTCAAGCACAGGGCTTCTCAAGAAGGGTTGCCCTTTGAAACACCCAAACCCAAACCCTCAAGTTGGCAACAAAAGCCCCGGAAGGATGAGAGTTTAGGGTTTAGGGTTTGGGGTTTAATTAGGGTTTCGGGTCTAGGGTTTGAGGTTTAGGTTTTAGGGCTTGGAGAGCGGGCAGCTGCCTCCGAGAGTGGCTCGCGCCAGTGGGCGAAAGCGCCGCCGCCCGCCTTCTGGATGCTCTCCTGCGCGTGACGACGCAGGTTCCGGGGTTTTAAGGGTTTAGGGTGATAAGGGATTAAGGTTATAAGTTAAGGGTTTTAGGGTTATAAGGGTTTAGGGGTTAGAAGAGTTAAAGTTAAGGACTATAAGGGTTTAGGGTCTTCGGGCTGGTAGCGTTATAAGGGCTTAGGGTTATAAGGGTTGAGGGTAAGATGGGTTTTGATAAGGGTTAGAGTTATGAGGGTTTAGGGTTTCGGATTTGGGGTTTAAGGGTTTAAAAAGGGTTTTGTAGGATGTACATTGGGCTCCCGCTCCCAACGCAGTGGGGCCCAAGCGTTACTGTTGAAGAGACGTCTTACTCACATAGCTGAGACAAGCTGTGCATCCTCCTGAAGTGTTTGTGGAAGTTCTTGGCGCAAACCCTGAAGCTTGAAGCGAATACCAAGCAGTGAAGCCTCAAAGCCTTCGGTGTTCACTGGGCGCTAGCTGGACCAAACAGACCGCACCAGACATGACCTCAACCCTCAGAAATCCGAAACAAAACATGACATACCCCGAAACACGAAAACCGCCATCGCTCATTTCGACATCAACCTCTTGCTGCAAAGCCCATGATACGGGCGCCTCAACCATACAAATAGTATCCCCTTCTCATCCTTGTACAAGGATAATGTAAACTACGCATTCTTCCCCTTCCCATACAACATCCCTAGCGCCCAGCCCCAAAGCCTTGAACCCTAAATACCCCAATGGAGAGTTTATGAGAATAAGGGACCCCGAAAATAGACCCCCAAATAGTAGGATTCCCTTTTAAGTAAGGACCCCCAAGAAGGTACCCAATTTCGAAAACCCCTAATCCACCATCTGCTTAAACACCACCCCCCCCCGAAAAAAAAAAAAACAAAACATACCTTATTACCCTTAGAGGGAAGAATATCTTGGGGGGTTCTTAAGCAAACAGTAGTAATTGAGTAAGCCAATTCCTAAACATTCCGAAACCCCTTGCTCCAGGTCGGCGTGCGCAGGCCCCAATACTGAGACCTTTCCTGCAAGGACCGCCAACCTCGGGGACTGTCCACGGCAGAGTTTCGTCGAGAGGGTTTAGGGTTTCGGGGTAGGGTTTAGGGGTTAGGGTTTATAGGGCTTAGGGTTTACGGTTTAGGCTTTAGGGTTTGTTCAGAATCCCCCCTTTTGCCCCCTTCTATACCAGCCCCGAATGGAAACTGCAAGACATGAATGAAGCCATGTCAAGCCCCTACAGCTGCTGTTACACGGAGACTTGCAAACAATCCTGGGATACGCGGGGTTTAGGGATGTTCATGGTGCTGTGCCTGAAGCCCTCAACTCATGACGTTGCGAGCATCGCACTTAGCTTCGGACAGCTGGAGAGTGGAACGCCTCACGCATGGAACAGCCATGTCCGGATGGAGCATGTGTAGCCGCAGCCAACGATCAACTTCACTGCTCGGGAATGCTTCGTCTCGGTCGGTCTTGCATCATCACCGCATTCGAGCGCAGCAAGAGATGTGGACTCACAAGTTATGCGTCACGAGCAAGCCACAAAGCCACCGAACGTGGCGAAGCAACCCCTCGTCCGTGATGGCCTCTCGAATCCAGGCTGCCCAGGCTCGTCAGCCACGATGTAGTCCGGGAGGGGCCTCAAGAAGGCGAGGTTGAACCTTTCTGAGCCCCGGGAACTCACAGTCTACTCAGCTGAAGGGGGTTCAAGGGTCCGAGATCAGGGGACGGTTGGAGGATGAAAGAGGGATTCTGAGGGGCCCTAAAGCAGTGCTGAGGCTACGTTGACCGAGCAGGAAAGAGGAGCCCCAAAAAGTCTTGGGCTTAGGGTTTAGGGCTTAGGGCTTAACTTCTTTCGTTGCTGTCTTACGCCGGGTTCTGTGATTCAATGCAGCACCTTCTTGAGGAGAAGGAGCCCTCTGATTTGCACTTTGAATCTTTCAGGGATTCAGGAGCTCCTTCGGTCATCGAGAGCATTGAACCTATGCCAACTACCTTCTAACCCGAGGCTTCGAGGGCACGGCATCTCGTAGGCGTGACCTGCTATCCGCTTGGCCTGCAGCCGGAAGACACGGGAAGACGCGGGATAACGGGTGGTTGCACACACTTGCTTTCTCTGATCTGATGTATATCTGTAGCAAGAGCTGCAAGCTGTAGTGCCTCAAAGTGCGCGACACGATTACGAGATCTCGCCTCCTTTTGGCCACGAGTCCTTGACGCTACGCTCAGTTCTTGCATGCTCATAGTACGCAATTTGAACCCAGGCCCGAATGTGAGTAGCTCCGCAAGCCTTTAACCAAGCAAGGCATGTCACCACCCATGTGTGCAAGCTCCCGTTATCACCTTCAGCAACTGAAACCCACCACTTCCAGCCTCTTGCAGCCGCAACTCAAAGACCAACGCGCCCCCTGCCCGATGGCAGCTTGTGGCGACTGTGGCAGAGCCGCCCTTGATGATCTTCATGTCCTCAAGCTTGCTTTGCTGTTGGGCTGGTGCTTTGCTTGAAAAAGACGCCTTGTCTTGGGCTGAAGGTGTTTCTGGTGTATTTGGTGCTCTGAACCCTTCGAAGCTGATAATAGCCTGCGTAAGTCAAGCCAAGCTCTGGAAGTTTATTGATGGCTCAACCCGATGCCCACAAAGGATCCACTACACTGCCGGTTGCTTCTCCTCTTCACATACAGCTGGGATCACATCGTCGGACTCTCTTGCCGAAGCACAAGATTTGGGCTGTCAGAGCCGTGTTGGGCCACATGAGCATGGTGGAGAAGTCAGGACGTCAGGAAAAGCGGCACGAGGGGGCTGCAAGGTCGCTCCGAGAAGGAATCGTGTAGACAAGTCAGGCTGATCTAAGACCTGCACTTCTTTGACGACTTCGCCCCACTTCTCCTTGCGGCCTCGGCTCAGACATGAAGGAAACGTCGTGCTCGAGAAATGCCTTTTGTGATTCGGGTCCATAGGAGCTTTGCATCGAGCCGTACTGATGGTCTGCTCCGCACAGTCATGTCACCGTTCAGTAACAGTTCAGGAAGAGCGAAGAATCCCTAACAACACCAGCATTCGCAATGGTAGCAGCAGCGGCGGGGCTCACATCTCTCTGGGGCACAGACGCGGCTTCTGTGGGCAGCTGCCACCCTTTAGCTCTTTGCCTCCATCTTTGACTGCACTTCCTGCTGTCGGTGAAGGACTTGGGGTACCAAGACTTAAGCCCTGCCTGTACAGTAGTTCGTTTTTTGGAGCAAGCTTGATGCTTGCAGGCTGCTGTCGTCGGCAGCAGAACAAATGCATCACATTCGCATGCCCATGCATCGCAAAACGACCCTCTGATTCACACTATTCCGTGGCTGAGGCACCTTTGCCAGGGCGCGGCAATCTCGGCTTCGTGACAGAAGGAGGTACTTCTTTGTGGCCGTTGCCGTCCTGGCCTGCATCTTGCTGTGTAGCAGGCACCTCAAGAGCAGATGCAACATAGGTCCTGGTACCACTATAGACTAATGCCTTCCCCCTAATATTATATAAACGGGCTCCTCCCCCCCCAAATAGAAACTCGAAATGGTTTTTTTTAATGTTGGGGGGATGTTTTTATCCAAATGTCATGTTTGGGGTCCAAAGGGTTAGGGGTCTAGGGAAGGGAGCCTCAGGATGCTGGTTGGCTTGAGGGTTTTCGGAGCCGTGAACCCCCCCCGAAATTCGGAATAGGGTTTAAAAGGCAGGGCCGGTTTCGGCAGGATTTTCTGGAAAGTGTTTTTATTGTTAGGGGTACGTTTAATAGAAGGGGGAAGGGATTATAGGGGCATGAAAAATGATGCATAGACATGTACATATATATATATATACATATGTATATATTTAGGCGTACGGATATGTCAGCTAGTTATATGGGGATCATATTGGAAGAAGTATCGGGATTCATCCACTCCTTCTCGTAAGCACCAATTATGCCCCTTCTGCAGCCCACCCACCTCGTCGAGCACAAGCTGGGTGGGTGTAGTCTCCGGCTTGGAATCCTTCGGCACCGGACAGACTTGAACTGACACTACGCTCTGACCCCGCAAAAACCAAGAGCCACATCCTTGAAAGGGTACACGGGATGCTTGGCATCAGGTGTGGCCTGCGTTTGAGCAAGACACCAGGACCTCAAAGTCTTGCCGTGGGTTGGCGTTGGAGGGCTGAGGATTGAGGGTGTAGGGTTGAGGGTGTTCTGGGGTGAACTGCCACGTTGGCTCACTTACACTTTCGATGTATTACATTACATAGTATGTAGGTTCCCGCAGCACTTTCGCGATGGTGCCGGTGGTGACAGCAGGCATTGCCACGTCAAGAAGCCTCCCCCGCACCCCCCCCGGTCAACCCCTCAAGCTAAGCCACCTGATGCCTGCCTTTGCAAAGAATCGCTGGATCACCCAATCTTACCCTAGAACCCTAAACCCTAAAACCACCCCTAAACCCTCAACCCGAAAACCGCCCTGAACCCTAAACGCTACTTCCGCTCAACCTCCGGGAGTGAATGGCGCAGTCCTCTTGGGACTTGTCGGGGAGATCGGAGCTCGGGCCCGCGGTGGTCCCGAACCTGGGCTTCGAGGTTTATAGGGGGTTTGCAGGGGTTTCTAGGGGTTTATACGGTTGATGGAGGCAGTCTTGCACCACCGACTTAATAACAAGCGACGCGACACATGAGCATAACCCCGCACCCCCTTTTTAATATTGACGATGATGGACACCGAGGCGGTGCAAGATTTTTGACATTAGAACCCACGGCACTTAACAGTCAATAATAAGAAGGGGGCGCGGGGTCTCTGCTTTGCTTGGCGGCCATTTAAAGTGGTGCAAGATTCCCTTCATCAACAGTAGGTTTAGGTTTAGAGGAGCTGAGGAGCTTTCTGGGTTTATGGGGTTGATAGGAGCTTTCTAGGTTTACAGGGTTTCTAGGAGCTCCGGCCCCTTTGGTTGAAAGGGTGGTTTGAGGGCTAGGAGGGAGATGGCTTAGGGTCTATAGGTTTAAAAGGTTTATAGGTGTATAAGTTATAGGACGCCTAGCTTGGGGTTTGCAGGGCTAAGGCTTGAGTGTTGGGATGTGTGGAGGCTCGGGGTTGCGCCACTCAAGCACCTTCAAGGCTCCATACTTGCCCTAGAAGCTGCCACCATCCTCCAGGGTTTGGCAGGCCGAACAGGCCCATTATATGGGGGTTGACCAAAATCGTGGTACCCTTTTTTGGGGGTCCCTTTTTTGGGGATCCTACTCTATTTGGGGTCTTAAAGGGGTAACCCCTATATAGGGGGAAAGACCCACATTCAGCCCGGCAGCAGCCTCCAATGCATGGAGATCCAGACCATCATCCTGGCAGGAGAGGCATGGAGAGACATCGGCTCAACATCTTAGAGTTTCCCAAACCCTACTGTAAGCCCTAAACCCTAAACCCGAACCCGAAAAACCCTAAAAACCCTAAAAACACCAAAACACCCTAAAAACCCTAAACGCCCTAAACCCCAATCACTAGGGTTTAGGGTTTTTAGGGTTTTTCGGGTTTTCCCGGGAGGGTTCAGGGGACCGGCTCGCAGCACGCCTTCACAGTGACCCCACTTACCCTTAGAGCCCTCTTATGCACCCGAAACCTTGAGCCCTTGACGCGTAAACCTTCCTCTACTCCCCTTAGAAGCTCAAGAAAAACACTATTTTTAATATCCTCTTGGGTTTTATACAAACAAAAATCTAAAAAATAATTCCCAATAAGGATGTAGCTTCAACCCCGAAGTCTTATTTAGGGTTTTGTTCGGGCTTTAAGGTCTAGGCTTTAGTCGTCTGGGGAGCATAAGCGGGTACCCCACCTACAATCGCCTCCCCGACACACCTGACGGTACATTTTTTTGCTTGGGATGGGTACCCACCCCGCCCCTAGCCGACGGGGGCATTTGTGGCCGGCCATAGGGGAACCAAATCTCTTCTTCTCCCGAGGCGGGTCGAATAGCGGTAAAATTCTTGGGTTTGGGGTTTAGGGTCGTTAAGCGCCTTTCGAAAAACCGCTTCCAACTTCGAAACCCACAACTACTACGTAATTGCTTAAGAACACCCGAAGGATAAAACATATTCTTCTAAGGGCAATAGAATATGGAGACTATGCTCCTTTGTTTTTGGAGGGTTCTTAAGCAAATGGTAGACAGACACCACCTTTGCGAAAAGCCATCCAGCCCAAGAGTCCACAAGCTCCCAGCTGCCAGAAGCCCCGTCGCCCATCGCAGGGAGCAGCAGCCCAAAACTGTCAGGGAGGTGCCGGCTTTAGGGCTTCCGCGCCTTCAGGGTTTTGGAGCTTTCGAGGTCGGCGGTTCAGGTTTGATGCATTGAGTCGTGAATCATTTGCATTGGAGTGGGTTGTGATTGTGGAATAGTAAGCAGACCAACGGGGAGTTCTGCACATTCAAAAGTTTTGGGCTGAATGCAAGATTCAAACAGTAAAAGGACCCGACAGCGAGAAGTACGGATACGAGTTCAAGATGTCCAAGCAGGACATGCGCTATGACACCTCCTTTGCCAGCTTTCCGCTTGGCAGTCATCGGCGACTGCCATGAGGCTCATGGAAGCAGTCTAAGGTTTCAAAGCAGCAAAAATCGGCTAGGACAATTGTTTAGGGTGTTTGTGTTGCAGCTGTTGCGAATGTGCTACTTCACATAGGATGCAAGCTAAGTGACGGTGGCTGCACCAGCGTCGCTGATCTGCCCACTAAAAAATGACGGAACCATTGCCTCCTTATGTTCGCTTTTCTGGCACCAAACTACCAAATTCTTGCGAGGGTTGCATGCAGCCTTTCTCTTGAGCTGTCAATCGAAAGATGGCTTCCGACAGATGCTGTCAGCGATGCTTGTGTCAGGCTCGGTGGACAACCAATGTCTACCTTAACACCTGCTTCAAGAACGCAGCAGCACTCGTAATCCCTCAACCCGAAACCGAAAACATCCCGAAGCCCTAAACCCTAAATCCCGCCCCCTAAGCCCTGCTTCACTGTTTTGCAAGCTGCATGGCGGACCCCACACAGGCCAAGAGGTGTCAACTTGCGATGCGTCGGAACTTGGCACTTGGCACTGGAGAGAAGTCGACTGCTCTTGGCTCTCGTGTGGGAGCAGAGTGGGCCAGGCCCACAGCTGCAACAAGAGTCGGCCTTCATGTCGGGAGAACATTCTTGAGGGTTTAGGGTTTAAGGTTTAGGTCTTTGCGTGTTTAGCTTCATCCTTTTGGGGATATGTGGGGGGGGGGGGGGGAAGGCGCACACTGAAGGCCGTGAGGCTTCGGCAACTTTGGCCTCCACTCATCTTGCCAACGCCGGAGTCCTGTGAAGGCCTAATTAAACCCTAAACCCTAAATACTAAACCCTAAACCCCGAACCCTGAACCCCTGAAGACTAAGCCATTAAGCCACTAAGCCTAAAACTGCCCAAAATTCTTCCGGGGAGGGAGGGGGGGGGCCTAAGCCCTGTGCTGAACACCCAGCTGAGCTCTGTCAGCTACCCCCACGAGGCGTATGTCAACCGAGCCCGTGTAAAGTTACACCCCTACACCTGCACATGACATGGGGACATGGCATTGTTTGCTCGCTCGCTCCTTTCATGACTTTACAGTGCGTTTCAAAGATACTTTGTCACACCACTGCGACCCCCCACCCACCCACACCCATACACACGGCTGAGCACCAAAACGCGATCACAGAATGCAAGCAGTCATGCCACATGCTAAAAGCAGGTCAGGACTTATAGGACTTGTTGATACTTGTTGTATAGATGGAATTGTGCCAGTACTTTCGAATCACGAGGTTTGATCAACTCTGGTTGACAGCCACTGCTCTGAGTTCTAACTAATTAGAAACTAACGTGCTTGTTGCTATGATTGCTTGACATGACGACTGAAACTCTTGAGCGCAGGTGACAGGGCACGCTCGCTCGGTAGCTGTCGCAAACCTTTACAAAATCAGTAAACCATAAACCCCAAAACCCAAAAACCCTAAACCCTTAGCAAACAGACCTGAGAAACCAGGCACGCTGTGCGAACGCTGCCTTGCTTCATTGATGGTGCCAAAGTCTCACACACACACACACAGAGGGCCTCAGTGGCTGACCGCTTCGGCTATTTGCGGCGCTAGGACCTTAGCAAAACGGAGAGAGTAGGACCCCCCCAAACCCCGTAAAGGCCACACAAACTAGTTTCTAAATTTAACGGTATGGGGTTGCTCGGCCCAAAGCACACCTCAAAGCCTGTGGCAGCCTGTCAAGCACGGTAGCATCCGTGGCTGCAAAGTCCTCCGTCATCTTTTGCCACGACAGTAGGAATATGTTGGGATTGTAGCCCCCCCCCCCGCCCCCAATAACAATCCCTATGACGGACTGCTAGTATAAGGGGGAACATCCCAAGCATTTTGCAAAGTCCTCATCGACGTGACCTGGAAGTGATGCCTGAATGAGAACAATGAATGAGGAACCACCTTAGGTGCTGGGTAGGTACGTGTTGCTCTCTAGTTTGTGTATGAGAGCCCTAACCCTAAGCCCCAAACCCTAAACCTCAGAGGGAAGCCAGCCAGGGCCGCTGTGCCCCCAAGGAGGATATGGAGGTTTCCGAAAATAGGGGACCCTTTGTTTGTTTGTTTTTTTGTGTGGGGGGGTGCGTGCGGGCACCTTTGCAGAAATTAGTTCTAGACCTAAACCCAAATCCTGAACCCCCCCCCCCCCTCCCCGCACACATAAGAAAATGGCATACATTCGGGGCTGTGGTGTTTCGGAAACCGGCCCGGGAGGGAGGCAGGGGTTGAGAGTTTGGGGTTCAAGTTTGTACGACTCTCATCAGCGCTGTTGTTTGCAGGCCACGAGCTGGGCTTCCGAAGGGTCTGCGGTTCTTGCTTCCGTTTCCTGGGTCACGGGTGCTTGGGGGTGCCGTGACCAATTTCGACGATGATGCCCCGACTTTGCTAGAGCGACCAGGGGCTGCAGGAACTGGAACGGCTTGACTAGAACTGCTGGAGACGGCTAGAGTTGAACCGCCGCTACTTCCACCACTGCCACTGTCGTGCACAGCTTTATGAGCCCTCATTGCTCCTACAGCAGAACATTGCAAGATTGTCCCGCAAGTACTCCAAGCAAGGAGTGTCTAGCACTGTCTACGCGAGATGGCCTCTGCATGCCTTGTCTGCGCAGTATCCGCCCACCTGAACCCTCAACCCTGGTCGGCAGAGCTTCCATGCCAGGCGGTCCTTTAGGTTCCTGGCACAACGCGACAAGCTAGATGTTTTTGAATGCTGAAAGCCTGAACAACATGAGCATTCGAAGATGTTCGAAGAGTAGGGTTACTTGAAATAGATCGTTTCTGGGCATTCCCGAAGCATCCTGGCTGCGGACATCTGAGGCGCCCTGCGATTATTGGAAGGAGCGTACCCCCTCGTGAACCTTGGACGCTGGGGGGCGTGCGCTCCAGGGTTTTCGGTTTCGGGTTTAGGAACAACGTCATAGATGGCCTCGTGTAGGGCAAGGGCTTCGGAGTTCTGTTGGCCCAGCGGGTGCAAGCCACTTGTGTTGCGCACTGAAAGTCTGAAACCGTAGTTCCTCTCGGTGTCCGCATCTAGACACCATCCACTGTACCCCATGAACACAGCCCAGTCGAAGCCCTAAGCTACTCAGAAGTCATCTGATGTCGAGCGTCTGATGAGATACACTGGGGCTAAGCCCTGAATTTAGGGTGATTCGGGGTTTAGGGTTTGGGATCCGGACGCACCAGGTGTTGCGTTGTCTTTGGCTCCAGTGTGTGTCCTGACATTGGATAGAGCCGCTTTGGGCAGTGGTAGCAAGTCCACGCCCTAAGGTTTAGGGTTTCGGGTCAACCCAAGGCTTGCCAAATCAGACTCTGCAAGGCGAATGTAACGTGCAAAGCTCTCACATCTACATGCAGCGCCCCCACAAACCCTAAACTCCGAACCCGAATGCCTACCAAGGAGGAGACCGTGTCCAGTCCTTTTATAGCGCTGCTGATCACGTGCTCCTTGCAAATGTCAGGGCCTCGTGCTGCCAAAAATGATGGATTAGAGGACCAAAGATTCGGGTTTGAGGGTTCTCGAGGTCTTGTGAGTACGTTCCCACAAGCCCAGGAAACAACAGGAAAACCTTGTTTCCTTAAGTTTGTTTTGCTTGTTTAAGGTAAGTAACTTATGTAACCCAACCCTCCAGAAAAACGAAAAGAAGTGTATTGCTGGAGATCCTAGGCACAAGCCTGCTCGTGAGATCGTGTCTGCAGATTCGGTACCAGGTTCGGGCCCCATTCCTTCTAACATCAGTACCTGTTTGATTTCAGTGGGCATCTTGGCCTAACTATGCAGGGATTACTTCTGCACTAGGCCTTCGATGACCCTGCGCTTCAACAGCCTTCTGGCGAAGTTACACGCGTCTGCACACTAGCCATATCGGAATCGGAAAATCATCCATGCTAATGCTGCAAACCTTGTTGGTCCCAACACGCTGGCTGCATCCCATCCCTCTCCCCTCCTTCTTCGGTGCGGTGGACACAAGACAGATTTAGTACAGGGCTGGGGTATGGCGGGCGAGGGGGGACGGGTCCCAGCCGAGAAATTGTGGTGTTGGGTGGAGAGGGCGAATGGGAAGGAATTTCCCACGCCATGCGAGTGGCTTGGTGGTTGCTGCATATTTTGCGTATAGTCCGTTGATGACTTGGTGCTTCATGCCGTGGTCGCAGGTGGAGTGTGCCAGCTAAGCGCGTAGATACGTAGACGTATATGTATACATGCTCTCTGGTGCTTGGATCCCAAATTCGCGCACGAAATCGCAAGAAATGGTAATACACCCGAAAGTATCCTTCAATCCTGCCGTGCAAGCCCTAAACCCTGAACCGACGTCCTCGAGGCCCGGACGAATGCCTGGAGGATTTACCAGGACATCTGGATGTTCGTAGTTCACTGACACCGCCGGCCTCAAGAACCGGGTATTCTGTAGGCGGTAACCTCAAGATGGAAACAAAAAACTGGGTTCTGTTTGAAGGGTCTGTTGCCTGAGCACAAGCTAAGCTGCCAACACAACCGTCATGCCTGCTGCTTTGAAAAGCTCCAGCCGGTGGTGCCCGTCGATCACCACCTGCGCTGACCGTGAGAACTCGGGTTATCGCCATCAAAAAGCATAGCTTCCCTCTGTTCTGAGGGACTGGCATCGTATTGCGAATCCACGATGATGGCCGGAAGGATCTTCACCTCGAGCAGAATGGACATGAGCTTCTTTCACAGTCATCTACAAAGTAGCTCAAACTGCAAGTCTAACCCCGTCTTCCCTCACATGCCACGCGCTTGGCAGGCGCACTTCTTGCCAACCTTCAGACTGTTGCCGTGCGCTTGTCTCATGCAGGCATGAGTCGCCCAACAGAGATACTGCACCTTTGTCAACTGAACTGAAAGTCCACCTGAACCACAGACAAGTTAGGGTTTTGAACCTGTGTGGGCTTCCAACCACCCAACAGCTTGATATTTCAACGCGAGGCTTTGGGAACAAAAACTTCTCCTACCCAACATGACGGCGGGAAAGCCCAGTGTGGTCTCCAATGACTTGGCTAGACTCCTATTGCACAAGCCGAGCGGGCTTGGGAGCACCACCTAGTCCCAGTAGTGGCGAAAACTACGGAGAGACGTCTTTGTAGTCTTGTAGGCGTATAGAAAAAGTCAGGTACCCCAAAGCAGGACTACGAGCAAATGTCCAAGTAGAACAAGGCTTGTGAAGTAGAATGGCTATATGCATAGCCTGTATTGTAGATGAATAAGTATTTGAAGCAGACTCCTTGTACAGTAGTTGCCGTGAAGCAGAGATTGCTGAGGCGCTCGCAGGAAGATCCCGCACGTAGTCCTGCAGCTTCGTGGCCCGATCTGTCAAGACCTGAAGCGAGCTCGGACTTCGTGTGCACAGATCCCATAAAAACTCTAAACCCCAAAGCTTCAAAAACCCCCCAAAACCCTCAATCCTAAACCCTAAACAGCTAGTGCTCTCAAGCTGCCCGAGGTGCCCCTCAGCTGCACAGCTCCAACATCCATTTGAGCAGATTCAGGGCAAAGGCCCTGAACAAAGGCACTTTTGCAGATCTTCGTTTCCACAAGTGAAACCGGCTTGCTGTTTCACAGCCCAGCCGGGGGAACTCGCATGAATCTGCTCCTGTTTATACGAGGAACAGTTCACAACCCAAAGCCCACAAAGACCCCATATTTTAATATGGGGTTTTTGACCTGCCCCCCAAGAGCAGCCTGCAACCCAGACCACAATCTCAAACACAAACAGCCTCATTAATTAACCTAAAACGCCACAACTTGCTGTTCCCCCTTATCCTAACGATCCTTCATAGGGATTATCGTAACCCCCTACTACAATCCCTACTAAGGACAGTTAGCATAAGGGGGCGCATCCCAACCCACAACCCCTCAACGAAGGTTTGTTGAGAGTGGTGGGGCCCCAAGACTGAGCCTCGCCTCTTCATGAGGCTTCAAATCGTCAATGTGCACGAGCCGGACGCCTTCGACCACCTCGATGGCTTTACTCTTTTGCAGTACGGGAGGGCTCGGGTGTTGTGGGGATCGTTTTGGCGCAAGGGGCCTCGTGTACATGACGCGAGCCTGACAAGAGTGCAGTGCGCAGCGAGCATCGTGCGCTTGGAGGGCTCCAGGCTGGGTGGAAGGCACCGCAGTGAACGGCTGCTGTTTTGAAGAACGGTCATGACCTGCGTGGTCTCAACATAATGAACTATACTTTCGAACACAAATTCTGATCCTTTTAAGGGAGATGATCTGGAATATTTTTCCCCCTTACACGAACAGTCCTTACTGGGATTATAGTACCCCCCCCGCCCCCTTTGTTCCAGCATTCAAAAAACTCCTGGGGACTCTTCCGTCCGAGGCGGGGGCGGCCGGATTCACATCCGCCGAGGTGCCGAACGTGGCCCGAGTCTGGGCAAGCTTGGGTGCTGCTTCCACGTTCTGAGGGCTCTAAACCCTAAGCCCTAAACCCTAAACCCTAAACCCTACACCCTAAACCCCAAAACTGATTAAATTCCAGTCTTTGTCCCGCTTCCGCCCTACACACCTCCGTGAGCAGCTCTGTCTTCGGGCTGGGCTTTGGAGAATGTCGAAAGCCATGCTTTGATATACAAATCTGTAATATATACCCTAATGTACAATACAACAAAAACATTGTTAATAATTATAATATACTGAAAACATACTCAACACACACAGACATATATATATATATGTATATATTATAAGTAAACAAACATAAGTATAAATATTTATATAAATAAAGATAAGTATACATATAAATATAAATACAAATATAAATACAAATAAAAAATATAAATATAAATGACACAAATATAAATCAGTTAATAAATAAAGATATATATATATATATACATACATATATACATATATATATATATATATATATATTTATATGTATATGTATATGTATATGTATTCATTTGTGCCTTCGGCCCGCGTTGTACTCTGTTTAAACCTCCGGCGACCCTTAAACCCCCCAGCGGACTCTCCACCCGCATATGTGATGTATGGTATCATTAGCATCATCTGGCTTTTGCTATTGTTGATGCATATGTGTGTCTAAATATTTACATATATAAATGTGGGGTTGGCGGATGCTGAGTCTCTCGCGAAGCTTTTACTTGTACAGTCTCGTCGCAGAAGGGCCTGTTCAAGATTCGCATTGCTGGAGAAACATGGGCGGTTGCAGAAGTATGGGGAGGATGGTCCATACCCTGCCGCGCATTTGCCCTCGCTCGTTCGCAGAAATCAGACAAGTTCAGCGTCACGGTGCTTACAAGGCGACCGTCTTCAAAATGATGATCCACAAGAACGCAGCCCAAAAATAGAATCTGGTCGTTCTGAAGTAGCCCTTGCAGAAACCAGTCAACATGTTCGCAATTGAGAGACAAACGCCTTTCGAAACCTTCAGAAGCCAGACGTTGCAGAGCGATGACGCTATGACTTGCGCCTGATAGAGCACAGAGAAGTCGTAGGGCCGGCGAACTGCCAGTCGGACGACGCTTGGCCTGTCATATCCTGCAGAGCGCTCGCTGCGCTTCAGAGTCTGAGAGGCTCCAGGGGCTTCGAAACGAGATTTCGAGTTCTGATGCTTTTCGGGCTTTGTAATATCACGCTTCCACTAAGATCCATCAAGTTGGTGACAGTTCTTACGGGCTTCCGATGGTCATGCCCACCCCCTACCTCTTTTGGGGTTTAGGGTTTAGGGTTTAGGGTATGGGTTTAGGGTTTAGGCTTCATCTCTCCGTTGCTTCGAAGATGCTCCCGGTCCAGATGCAGCGAGGCGGATGGGACAGCCGCATTTCAGAGCTGTTCGGTAGACCTGGCGTGGCATGATTGGAGCACTGGAACCCCATAAGCCCTAACCCCCAAAATCCGAAAAAACCCCAGGCCCTCAACCGCCTAAACCCCTTAAAAAAGCACCTCCATGGCCTTTTCAAGACTGAGGTTGACCCTGATTCTTGTGTTTTGGCCTCGGGGGGCCTTTGGCCTTGGGAGCCTCGCCATGCTCCCAATGACATTGCTGCTAAACCCTAAGCCCTAAACCCTAAACCCTAAACCCTAAACCCTAAACCCTAAACCCTAAATCCTAAACCCTAAACCCTAAACCCTAAACCCTAAACCCTGAACCCTAAATCCTAGACCCTAGACCCTAGACCCTAAGTATCCCGACCCTATGTGCTGACAAAACCCGGATGCCGAAGGCGGAGTGGGATAGTGAATGCGACAACCCTAGGCCCCAGCCCTAAACCCGTGACGGGAAGATGGAAGGCATTGCAGGGATCGACTGATCGACTCCCGCATCGATGAACCCTGAACCCTTAAACTTGGGATGTTCCTAACGGCCCTTCATAGGGATTATAAACGGGGTACTACAATCCCGATTAAGGACTGTGTAAGTCTTAGGGGAAACATCCAGCAACCCCAACCCAAGAATTCCTGAACCCTGAACCCTGAACCCTGAACCCTGAACCCTGAACCCTGAACCCTGAACCCTGAACCCTCAACCCTCAACCCTCAACCCTCAACCCTCAACCCTAAACCCTACAGGAAGCCGTGCTTTTGGTGAGGCCGCAGCATCCCGGGCGATGTCCGGGCTGCCCGTGTCGATCCAGATCTCGTTGGGGGCAGAAATTCTTCTGTGCTGAGGTTGTCAGGCCTAACCCTAAACCCTAAACCCTAAACCCTAAACCCTAAGGTTCGGAGCACTTTGAGGCTTTAGGACTTTTGGGTTAGCGCCTACAGCGGGTTTTACAAACTTGCAAGCCGGGTGAGTCTTTCTTGTAGGGGTCAGGAATTCGCCTCGGCTTCCTGCCGAGAAGCGTCTGGAACAAGCAGACCCGGATCGGGCCTCCTTCCAACCCTTCCCCCCATGCAAAATTTTGTGACGCCACCCCCCCCCCCCCCCCCCCCCCCCCCGCCCTGTGGGACCCCCCCCAATCGCTTGGAGGAGCTGCAAACCGATGCCGTGCCCCCAAAAACCCCGCTGCCCTTCCTCTGGGCCGGCCCGGCTGCCGAGGCGGCGCGCGCAAGCGTTTACAATCTAAGAAAACCCCTAAAACCCAACCCTAATTCTTAAGGCTTGGGATGGTCCCCCCCCGTATACTACCAGTCCTTAATAGGCATTGTCGTACCCCCCCATTATAATCCCTATTAAGGAATGCTAGCATGGGCTGAGGCAGGTGCCCATGAAAGCCATGGCTTGCCACTGAACTGCCAGGAAGGATGCCTTCGAAACGTTTAGGGTTTTGGGGTTTTAGGGTTTTAGGGTTTTGGGGTTTTAGGGTTTTAGGGTTTTAGGGTTTTAGGGTTTTAGGGTTTTAGGGTTTTAGGGTTTTAGGGTTTAGGGCTTTAGGGCTTTAGGGTCTTAGGGTTTTAGGGTTTTAGGGTTTTGGGGTTTTAGGGTTTTAGGGGTTTTGGGGTTTTAGGGTTTTAGGGTTTTGGGGTTTTGGGGTTTTGGGGTTTGCAGAATGCAGGGTCCAGGGTCCCTGGGGTTTAGGGTTTGTCAGGGTTTGTCGGTTGAGGCTTCCGGGGCTTTTAAGCCTTCGAGGGTTTTTAGGCCTCAAGGCCGTAGCTTGCTGAGCTTGCGTTTTAACCTTTTGTTTCGAGCTCAAACCCCTTAAAGCCCTTAAACCCCTTAAACCCTATGAACCTTAGAAACCTCGTAAGCCCCATAAAATCTGTAAACCCTGTAAACCCTGTAAGCCCCGAAAAGCCTGTAAACCCTGTAAACCGCGTAAAGCCTGTAAAGCCTGTAAACCCTACAAACCCCTAAACCCTACATCTGCAGCCAGGCTGAGGCCACGGCAGTCTCTGTAGACGGGTGATCATGTGTTCACGCCTGTAGCAGAAGCCGCTGTGGCGCGCAGAACTTGCAGGGTTTAGGGCTTCGGGCTTAAGGTGCTCTCTCCGTGCCGAAAATGGCTCGTCCACGGCTGCCCCAAATCCGTTACCTGGGATCCCCTAGCTAGCTGCCATCCAACCAAGAGCATCTTGCATTCGCAGCACGGAATTTTGCAGAGGTGCTTGGGCTCTACCTGCTGCTTTATGATGTGACGTCGTCTGGCTTCAGCCATGCCAACTACCAATCAAATCAAATCCTGTCCTGGGATGCGTCGCTTGACTTACCCCGCACAATCAGCACAAGCAACAGTTGCGTTGCTTGTCTGAAGCGAGACAAGCTTGGATTCTTGGGTGCAGGCATTCATGCGGGCACGATGCACTGCACGGAGTATGAGTATAGATCTCCACAAAAACCCTCAAACTGACAAAAACACTGAACCCAGACCCACACCCATCAAGCCCGGCCAGGCAGGTGTTGCGCTCCAGGTGTGCTCCAGGTACGTGCGGTCCTTCCGGTAGAGGTTCTGAAGCGTTAGGCTTGACTGAAGGTTTAGGAATGTTTAGGGTTTACGGGCTTAGAGATGGGTTTAGAAGTAAACTCATGACAAGAACAGTTTGTTTCTTGTGTGTTTCTGCTTGACCCACACACAGGCAGCTGATGCCCTGGGCCCGGCTGATGCTCATGATGCTCGTTTTGGGGCCCGGCCCCTGGATGCTCGCTTTGGGGCGCTGCTCATAAGGACACAAACCGCTGATGCTCCTGATGCTCGCTTTGGGGGGCCGGGTTCTCAAGGACACAGGCAACTGATGCTCGTGATGCTCGCTTTGGGGGCGCGGCTCATAAGGACACAAACCGCTGATGCTCCTGATGCTCGTTTTGGGGGCCGGGTTCTACAAAACACAGGCAACTGATGCTCATGATGCTCGCTTTGGGGCGCGGCTCAGAAGGACACAAACCGCTGATGCTCATGATGCTCGTTTTGGTGGGCCGGGTTCTACAAAACACAGGCAACTGATGCTCATGATGCTCGCTTTGGGGCGCGGCTCAGAAGGACACAAACCGCTGATGCTCATGATGCTCGTTTTGGTGGGCCGGGTTCTCAAGGACACAGGCAACTGATGCTCGTGGTGCTCGCTTTGGGGGCGCGGCTCATAAGGACACAAACCGCTGATGCTCCTGATGCTCGCTTTGGGGGGCCGGGTTCTCAAGGACACAGGCAACTGATGCTCGTGATGCTCGCTTTGGGGGCGCGGCTCATAAGGACACAAACCGCTGATGCTCCTGATGCTCGTTTTGGGGGGCCGGGTTCTACAAAACACAGGCAACTGATGCTCATGATGCTCGCTTTGGGGCGCGGCTCAGAAGGACACAAACCGCTGATGCTCATGATGCTCGTTTTGGTGGGCCGGGTTCTCAAGGACACAGGCAACTGATGCTCGTGGTGCTCGCTTTGGGGGCGCGGCTCATAAGGACACAAACCGCTGATGCTCCTGATGCTCGCTTTGGGGGCGCGGCTCATAAGGACACAAACCGCTGATGCTCCTGATGCTCGCTTTGGGGGGCCGGGTTCTACAAAACACAGGCAACTGATGCTCATGATGCTCTCTTTGGGGCGCGCTCAGAAGGACACAAACCGCTGATGCTCATGATGCTCGTTTTGGTGGGCCGGCTTCTCAAGGACACAGGCAGCTGATGCTCGTGATGCTCGCTTTGGGGGCGCGGCTCATAAGCACACAAACCGCTGATGCTCCTGATGCTCCTTTTGGGGGGCCGGGTTCTCAAGGACACAGGCAAGTGATGCTCATGATGCTCGCTTTGGGGGCGCGGCTCATAAGGACACAAGCCGCTGATGCTCATGATGCTCGTCTTGGGGGGCCGGGTCCTCCAGGACACAGGCAGCTGATGCTGATGCTCGTTTTGGGGGCCGGGTTCTCAAGGACAAAGGCAACTGATGCTCGTGATGCTCGCTTTGGGGTCCGGCTTCTCAAGGACAGAGGCAGCTGATGCTCGCGATGCTCGCTTTGGGGGCGCGGCTCATAAGGACACAAACCGCTGATGCTCATGATGCTCGTTTTGGGGGGCCGGGTTCTCAAGGACACAGGCAGCTGATGCTCGTGATGCTCGCTTTGGGGGCGCGGCTCATAAGGACACAAACCGCTGACGCTCATGATGCTCGTTTTGGGGGGCCGGGTTCTCAAGGACACCACAGGCAGCTGATGCTCGTGATGCTCGCTTTGGGGGCGCGGCGCATAGGGACACAAACGGCTGATGCTCATGATGCTCGTTTTGGGGGGCCGGGTTCTCAATGAAACAGGCAGCTGATGCTCGTGATGCTCGCTTTGGGGGCGCGGCTCATAAGGACACAAACCGCTGATGCTCATGATGCTCGTGATGCTCGTTTTGGGGGGGCGGCTCATAAGCACACAAACCGCTGATGCTCATGATGCTCGTTTTGGGGGGCCGGGTTCTCAAGGACACAGGCAGCTGATGCTCGTGATGCTCGCTTTGGGGGCGCGGCTGATAAGGACAGAAACCGCTGATGCTCATGATGCTCGTTTTGGGGGGCCGGGTTCTCAAGGACACAGGCAGCTGATGCTCGTGATGCTCGCTTTGGGGGCGCGGCTCATAAGGACGCAAACCGCTGATGCTCATGATGCTCGTTTTGGGGTCCGGGTTCTCAAGGACACAGGCAGCTGATGCTCGTGATGCTCGCTTTGGGGGCGCGGCCCGCAAGGACACAAACCGCTGATGCTCATGATGCTCGCTTTGGGGGGCCGGGTTCTCAAGGACACAGGGAACTGATGCTTGTGATGCTCGCTTTGGGGGCGCTCATAAGGACACAAACCGCTGATGCTCATGATGCTCGTTTTGGGGGGCCGGGTTCTCAAGGACACAGGCAGCTGATGCTCGTGATGCTCGCTTTGGGGGCGCGGCTCATAAGGACACAAACCACTGACGCTCATGATGCTCGTTTTGGGGGGCCGGGTTCTCAAGGACACCACAGGCAGCTGATGCTCGTGATGCTCGCTTTGGGGGCGCTTCATAAGGACACAAACCGCTGATGCTCGTTTTGCGGGGCCGGCTTCTCAAGGACACAGGCAGCTGATGCTCGTGATGCTCGCTTTGGGGGCGCGGCTCATAAGGACACAAACCGCTGATGCTCCTGATGCTCCCTTTGGGGGGCCGGGTTCTCAAGCACACAGGCAGTTGATGCTCGTGATGCTCGCTTTGAGGCACAAACCGCTGATGCTCATGATGCTCGTTTTGAAGGACACAGGCAGCTGATGCTCGTGATGCTCGCTTTGGGGGCGGCTCATAAGGACACACACCGCTCATGCTCATGATGCTCGTTTTGGGGGGCCGGGTTCTCAAGGACACAGGCAGCTGATGCTCGTGATGCTCGCTTTGGGGGCGCGGCTCATAAGGACACAAACCGCTGATGCTCATGATGCTCGTTTTGGGGGGGGCCAGGTTCTCAGGGACACAGGCAGCTGATGCTCGTTATGCTCGCTTTGGGGGCGCGGCTCATAAGGGCACAAACGGCTGATGCTCATGATGCTCGTTTTGGGGGGCCGGGTTCTCAAGGACACAGGAAACTGATGTTCGAGATGCTCGCTTTGGGGGCGCGGCTCATAAGGACACAAACCGCTGATGCTCATGATGCTCGTTTTGGGGGGCCGGGTTCTCAAGGACACAAGCAGCTGATGCTCGTGATGCTCGCTTTGGGGTCGCGGCTCATAAGGACACAACCGCTGATGCATGACGCTCGCTTTGGGGGCGCGGCTCATAAGGACACAAACCGCTGATGCTCATGATGCTCGTTGTGGGGGGCCCGGGTTCTCAGGGAACCAGGCAACTGATGCTCATGATGCTCGTTTTGGGGTCCGGGTTCTCAAGGACACAGGCAGCTGATGCTCGTGATGCTCGCTTTGGGGGCGCGGCTCATAAGGACACAAACCGCGATGCTCGTTTTGGGGGGCCGGGTTCTCAAGGACACAGGCAGCTGATGCTCGTGATGCTCGCTTTGGGGGCGCGGCTCATAAGGGCACAAACCGCTGACGCTCATGATGCTCGTTTTGGGGGGCCGGGTTCTCAAGGACACAGGCAGCTGATGCTCGTGATGCTCGCTTTGGGGGCGCGGCTCATAGGGACACAAACGGCTGATGCTCATGATGCTCGTTTTGGGGGGCCGGGTTCTCAATGACACAGGCAGCTGATGCTCGTGATGCTCGCTTTGGGGGCGCGGCTCATAAGGACACAAACCGCTGATGCTCATGATGCTCGTGATGCTCGTTTTGGGCGGGGCGGCTCATAAGCACACAAACCGCTGATGCTCATGATGCTCGTTTTGGGGGGCCGGGTTCTCAAGGACACAGGCAGCTGATGCTCGTGATGCTCGCTTTGGGGGCGTGGCTCTTAAGGACACAAACTGCTGATGCTCATGATGCTCGTTTTGGGGGGCCGGGTTCTCAAGGACAGAGGCAGCTGATGCTCGTGATGCTCGCTTTGGGGGCGCGGCTCATAAGGACACAAACCGCTGATGCTCATGATGCTCGTTTTGGGGGGCCGGGTTCTCAAGGACACAGGCAGCTGATGCTCGTTATGCTCGCTTTGGGGGCGCGGCTCATAAGGACACAAACGGCTGATGCTCATGATGCTCGTTTTGGGGGGCCGGGTTCTCAAGGACACAGGCAGCTGATGCTCGTGATGCTCGCTTTGGGGGCGCGGCTCATAAGGACGCAAACCGCTGATGCTCATGATGCTCGTTTTGGGGTCCGGGTTCTCAAGGACACAGGCAGCTGATGCTCGTGATGCTCGCTTTGGGGGCGCGGCCCGCAAGGACACAAACCGCTGATGCTCATGATGCTCGTTTTGGGGGGCCGGGTTCTCAAGGACACAGGCAGCTGATGCTCGTGATGCTCGCTTTGGGGGCGCGGCTCATAAGGACACAAACCGCTGGTGCTCATGATGCTCGGTTTGGGGGGCCGGGTTCTCAAGGACACAGGCAGCTGATGCTCGTGATGCTCGCTTTGGGGGCGCGGCTCTCAAGGACACAAACCGCTGATGCTCATGATGCTCGTTTTGGGGGGCCGGGTTCTCAAGGACAGAGGCAGCTGATGCTCGTGATGCTCGCTTTGGGGGTGCGGCTCATAAGGACGCAAACCGCTGATGCTCATGATGCTCGTTTTGGGGGGCCGGGTTCTCAAGGACACAGGCAGCTGATGCTCGTGATGCTCGCTTTGGGGGCGCGGCTCATAAGGACGCAAACCGCTGATGCTCATGATGCTCGTTTTGGGGTCCGGGTTCTCAAGGACACAGGCAGCTGATGCTCGTGATGCTCGCTTTGGGGGCGCGGCCCGCAAGGACACAAACCGCTGATGCTCATGATGCTCGCTTTGGGGGGCCGGGTTCTCAAGGACACAGGGAACTGATGCTCGTGATGCTCGCTTTGGGGGCGCGGCTCATAAGGACACACACACCGCTCATGCTCATGATGCTCGTTTTGGGGGGCCGGGTTCTCAAGGACACAGGCAGCTGATGCTCGTGATGCTCGCTTTGGGGGCGCGGCTCATAAGGACACAAACCGCTGATGCTCATAATGCTCGTTTTGAGGGGCCGGGTTCTCAAGGACACAGGCAGCTGATGCTCGTGATGCTCGCTTTGGGGGCGCGGCTCATAAGGACACAAACCGCTGATGCTCATGATGCTCGGGGCCGGATTCTCAAAAACACAGGCAACTGATGCTCGTGATGCTCGCTTTGGGGGCGCGGCTCATAAGGACACAAACCGCTGATGCTCATGATGCTCGTTTTGAGGGGCAGCTGATGCTCGTGATGCTCGCTTTGGGAGCGCGGCTCATAAGGACACAAACCGCTGATGCTCATGATGCTCGCTTTGGGGGCCGGGTTCTCAAGGACACAGGCAACTGATGCTCGTGATGCTCGCTTTGGGGGCCCGGCTCATAAGGACACAAGCCGCTGATGCTCATGATGCTCGTTTTGGGGGGCCGGGTTCTCAAGGACACAGGCAGCTGATGCTCGTGATGCTCGCTTTGGGGGCGCGGCTCATAAGGACACAAACCGCTGATGCTCATGTAGCTCGTTTTGGGGGGCCGGGTTCTCAAGGACACAGGCAGCTGATGCTCGTGATGCTCGCTTTGGGGGCGCGGCTCATAAGGACACAAACCGCTGATGCTCATGATGCTCGCTTTGGGGGGCCGGGTTCTCAAGGACACAGGCAGCTGATGCTCGTGATGCTCGCTTTGGGGGCGCGGCTCATAAGGACGCAAACCGCTGATGCTCATGATGCTCGTTTTGGGGTCCGGGTTCTCAAGGACACAGGCAGCTGATGCTCGTGATGCTCGCTTTGGGGGCGCGGCCCGCAAGGACACAAACCGCTGATGCTCATGATGCTCGTTTTGGGGGGCCGGGTTCTCAAGGACACAGGCAGCTGATGCTCGTGATGCTCGCTTTGGGGGCGCGGCTCATAAGGACACAAACCGCTGGTGCTCATGATGCTCGGTTTGGGGGGCCGGGTTCTCAAGGACACAGGCAGCTGATGCTCGTGATGCTCGCTTTGGGGGCGCGGCTCTCAAGGACACAAACCGCTGATGCTCATGATGCTCGTTTTGGGGGGCCGGGTTCTCAAGGACACAGGCAGCTGATGCTCGTGATGCTCGCTTTGGGGGCGCGGCTCATAGGACACAAACCGCTGATGCTCATGATGCTCGTTTTGGGGGGCCAGGTTCTCAAGGACACAGGCAGCTGATGCTCGTGATGCTCGCTTTGGGGGCGCGGCTCATAAGGACACAAACCGCTGATGCTCATGATGCTCGTTTTGGGGGGCCGGGTTCTCAAGGACACAGGCAGCTGATGCTCGCGATGCTCGCTTTGGGGGCGCGGCTCATAAGGACCCAAACCGCTGATGCTCATGATGCTCGTTTTGGGGGGCCGGGTTCTCAAGGACACAGGCAGCTGATGCTCGTGATGCTCGCTTTGGGGGCGCGGCTCATAAGGATGCTCATGATGCTCGTTTTGGGGGGCCGGGTTCTCAAGGACACAGGCAGCTGATGCTCGTGATGCTCGCTTTGGGGGCGCGGCTCATAAGGACACAAACCGCTTATGCTCATGATGCTCGCTTTGGGGGCGCGGCTCATAAGGACACAAACCCCTGATGCTCATGATGCTCGTTTTGGGGGGCCGGGTTCTCAAGGACACAGGCAGCTGATGCTCGTGATGCTCGCTTTGGGGGCGCGGCTCATAAGGACACAAACCGCTGATGCTCATGATGCTCGGTTTGGGGGGCCGGGTTCTCAAGGACACAGGCAGCTGATGCTCGTGATGCTCGCTTTGGGGGCGCGGCTCATAAGGACACAAACCGCTGATGCTCATGACTCATGATGCTCGTCTTGGGGGGCCGGGTTCTCAAGGACAAAGCAGCTGATGCTCGTGATGCTCTCTTTGGGGGCGCGGCTCATAAGGACACAAACCGCTGATGCTCATGATGCTCGGGGCCGGGTTCTCAAGGACACAGGCAGCTGATCTCGCTTTGGGAGCGCGGCTCATAAGGACACAAACCGCTGATGCTCATGATGCTCGTTTTGGGGGGCCGGGTTCTCAAGGACACAGGCAGCTGATGCTCGTGATGCTCGCTTTGGGAGCGCGGCTCATAAGGACACAAACCGCTGATGCTCATGATGCTCGCTTTGGGGGGCCGGGTTCTCAAGGACACAGGCAGCTGATGCTCGTGATGCTCGCTTTGGGGGCGCGGCTCATAAGGACACAAACCGCTGATGCTCATGATGCTCGTTTTGGGGGCCGGGTTCTCAAGGACACAGGCAGCTGATGCTCGTGATGCTCGCTTTGGGAGCGCGGCTCATAAGGACACAAACCGCTGATGCTCATGATGCTCGCTTTGGGGGGCCGGGTTCTCAAGGACACAGGCAGCTGATGCTCGTGATGCTCGCTTTGGGGGCGCGGCTCATAAGGACACAAACCGCTGATGCTCATGATGCTCGCTTTGGGGGGCCGGGTTCTCAAGGACACAGGCAGCTGATGCTCGTGATGCTCGCCTTGGGGGCACGGCTCATAAGGACACAAACCGCTGATGCTCATGATGCTCGCTTTGGGGGGCCGGGTTCTTGATGCTCGTGATGCTCGCTTTGGGGTGGCTCATAAGGACACAAACCGCTGATGCTCATGATGCTCGCTTTGGGGGGCCGGGTTCTCAAGGACACAGGCAGCTGATGCTCGTGATGCTCGCTTTGGGGGCGCGGCTCATAAGGCACAAACCGCTGATGCTCATGACTCATGATGCTCGCTTTGGGGGGCCGGGTTCTCAAGGACACAGGCAGCTGATGCTCGTGATGCTCGCTTTGGGGGCGTGGCTCATAAGGACACAAACCGCTGATGCTCATGATGCTCGCTTTGGGGGGCCGGGTTCTCAAGGACACAGGCAGCTGATGCTCGTGATGCTCGCTTTGGGGGCACGGCTCATAAGGACACAAACCGCTGATGCTCATGATGCTCGCTTTGGGGGGCCGGGTTCTCAAGGACACAGGCAGCTGATGCTCGTGATGCTCGCTTTGGGGGCGCGGCTCATAAGGACACAAACCGCTGATGCTCATGATGCTCGTTGTGGCCGGGTTCATCAAGGACACAGGCGCTGTGCGCGTGATGCTCGCTTTGGGGGCGCGGCTCAATAAGGACACACACCGTGTGCTCATTATGCTTTTGGGGGGCCGGTTCTCAAGCTTATGCTCGTGATCTCGCTTTGGGGGCGCGGCTCATAAGGACACAAACCGCTGATGCTCATGATGCTCGTTTTGGGGGGCCGGGTTCTCAAGGACAAAGCAGCTGATGCTCGTGATGCTCTCTTTGGGGGCGCGGCTCATAAGGACACAAACCGCTGATGCTCATGATGCTCGGGGCCGGGTTCTCAAGGACACAGGCAGCTGATCTCGCTTTGGGGGCGCGGCTCATAAGGACACAAACCGCTGATGCTCATGATGCTCGTTTTGGGGGGCCGGGTTCTCAAGGACACAGGCAGCTGATGCTCGTGATGCTCGCTTTGGGGGCGCGGATGCTCATGATGCTCGCTTTGGGGGGCCGGGTTCTTGATGCTCGTGATGCTCGCTTTGGGGGCGCGGCTCATAAGGACACAAACCGCTGATGCTCATGACTTGATGCTCGTCTTTGGGGGGCCGGGTTCTCAAGGACACAGGCAGCTGATGCTCGTGTGCTCGCTTTGGGGGCGCGGCTCATAAGGACACAAACCGCTGATGCTCATGATGCTCGGGGCCGGGTTCTCAAGGACACAGGCAGCTGATCTCGCTTTGGGGCGCGGCTCATAAGGACACAAACCGCTGATGCTCATGATGCTCGTTTTGGGGGGCCGGGTTCTCAAGGACACAGGCAAGCTGATGCTCGTGATGCTCGCTTTGGGGCGCGGCTCAGAAGGACACAAACCGCTGATGCTCATGATGCTCGCTTTGGGGGGCCGGGTTCTCAAGGACACAGGCAGCTGATGCTCGTGATGCTCGCTTTGGGGGCGCGGCTCATAAGGACGCAAACCGCTGATGCTCATGATGCTCGTTTTGGGGTCCGGGTTCTCAAGGACACAGGCAGCTGATGCTCGTGATGCTCGCTTTGGGGGCGCGGCCCGCAAGGACACAAACCGCTGATGCTCATGATGCTCGCTTTGGGGGGCCGGGTTCTCAAGGACACAGGGAACTGATGCTCGTGATGCTCGCTTTGGGGGCGCGGCTCATAAGGACACACACACCGCTCATGCTCATGATGCTCGTTTTGGGGGGCCGGGTTCTCAAGGACACAGGCAGCTGATGCTCGTGATGCTCGCTTTGGGGGCGCGGCTCATAAGGACACAAACCGCTGATGCTCATAATGCTCGTTTTGAGGGGCCGGGTTCTCAAGGACACAGGCAGCTGATGCTCGTGATGCTCGCTTTGGGGGCGCGGCTCATAAGGACACAAACCGCTGATGCTCATGATGCTCGCTTTGGGGGGCCGGGTTCTCAAGGACACAGGCAGCTGATGCTCGTGATGCTCGCTTTGGGGGCGCGGCTCATGAAGCACGCAGGCGGCCTCAAGGGTGCTCGCTTTGGGGAGGCTTGCCTCCCAATGCAAAGCCCTTTCCGAACCCTTCTGTAGTGTTCTCCGGACGAAAGGGATGACATGAAGGGGAACGTGAAGTAAGTGAGAAAGGGAAGTATGCGTTTGAGAGGGGCTTTGCCTTGATTTCTCCTAGGCTTGCTTGGTTTCGCACAGGACTTCATTTCGGAGAAATGTCCCCCAAAAGACACCCTACTCCCCGAACAACCCCCTGCTGACTCCGACAGCACCTACGGCGCTAAGCGATCCTAAGCCCAACTAGAGCCTCACCCGGAAGGCCTCCAAAATGACTAACATGCGTTTACAACCTAAAGTCCGTTCCCCTCCCAGCAGCACCCCAATACCCGAAATCCCAGAGCCGTCCTTGAGGGCGGCCTTTAAATACGCGCGGGCGAAGACGGTGACAGACCATGGCACCTCAGATCATCGAGTTCATGAAAGACCTGGACCCAATCGTTCTCCGAAGATCTCAGAATGTATGAGGGCATCTCATCTTCTTCCGTATGCGATCATGTCGAAGAGTTCATCTACAATTTCTAGGGCTTTATGCTCATCAGGTTCATGTAAAGCTTGCTCGCTGTAAAGGCGTTGTGTTGATCCGTTGTTGTTGCAGTGGTCTCGATGTGTCCAACTGGCCAGAGCACAGCTATACTAGCTATTCATCTGAATCTGCACGTAGAGATACGTATAACGTATATATATATATATATACATCAATGTATTTATTTCTTTCTTTTGTTGCTACTTTTAACTTTCAATCAATGCCCTGAGTGTTGTCGGAGCTCAAGGACTTTGTTGCTGGATAGGCTGGATTTGTGTATTCACCAAGGTCAATATCTGCTCTTTAAGGGTAGGAAATGTACCAACCCCCAGCCCTCGTTGCTATGTTGTTTTCAAGGTGTGGGTTGTTGTAATCTTGACAGTGCGCGAGTAGAAAACAACTTAACATGCCTCAGGGAAACAGCTATTAGATACTGCCGCCAGCATCTTCCAAAAGCAACACAGGCTACTAACTTCTGAATGATAGATCACCAGAAGAGATCATAGGTTCTTCACTGCGGACGAACAACTGATGCTACTAGTGGCTCTACCGCACATGACAGCAATGAAATCTACAGACAGAGCACCCACTGTCAATCAATGTGAGCACCTGCAAGAACAACTAACAACCAATCCGACTTCGGATGATGTTGCTGTTACAGTTCCATGATGCTGACACAATCACCTGCCAAAAGCAGAAAATGCAAGATGCCCTCATTTTCCTTTCCCTATTGTAAAGGTACTTTACTGGCTTGCTCTGCGAAAGCCTTATGCCCTGGCGGCCTGCATTCCCTGGAGCATTTCCTGCTTCTCCGCCGTCGGGCACAGCACTGTGCCTGGCCAGGGCACTGAGTTCGCACTCTGAGAATTTAGCAAATTAGCTAGCAACCAGGAAATAAACGTAGGATGCCGGTTAGATGCAAATTTCGGTGTAGCAGCACACCCCAAACCGCGACCGAAGACGTAAAGCACCCGTGTGTCGTGCGATGGTCACGCTAAGGACACCGACGACGCGACGGAAGAGCAGCGCCCAGACAACCGGAGCTTTGTCGGAGCCCTCGCCTTGCTCGCAAGCCAAACCAGACCCGATCCAGAAACATCCCACCGTCGAGGATCTTCGCTTCACCAACATGATATTGCTGTGTTATCGACTCGCTGGATGGAGCAACGACGCGGACCCCTTCTACGCCCACCGCAGAGGACAACGCCGGGATGATAGAGGTTCGTTTGCTTACGGACTGCCGTTCGTTTTGCATGCTCTCACCATCCTGAACATTCCCGGATTCGCATGTCGACACCACATCCGTCTAGACTCAAGCCACTCCATGCTCGCCCTGCTCACAAACCCGATCGCCGCGCCTATCCTCAACCTGGGCAAGACGAGTGGGTGCAATGGGGCTGTTGGCCTTCGAGATGTATGACGGACTAGAGGACTTGCACTGGGTCGTGCAACATACTGGTCGGGGCAACAAAGGAAGCTTGTTGTCCTTGTCCGAGCTGAGCTTTGAACCCAGTGCACGAGAAAATCTTTGTCCACGATTGCACCTGCGCTTGCAAACTGGATGTGCTCTGACTCTCGTGCTGACTCTCTCCTGTTTGCTTAAGAACCCCGCCCCAAAACATGAAATGTTCTTCCTTATAAGGGTAATAAGGGAGGATGTGTTTTTCTTTTCGGGGGGTTCTTAAGCAAATAGTAGCTCTTGTGATGCAAATGAGCGGCTTCCTCGAAGGAGGAGCGGTAGAAAAACTAAATCCGAGCTTGCACTGTTTCGTCACAGGACAGGTGCACCAGGAAGATGTTGATGTGCTTCTTCACCATCGACTCGGTGAAACTTGCGCTGACACCACGCTCCTCCGAGACGTGAACCACGCCCACGCATGCTGCAAGTGATTCAGGACATGCAGCCTGTTCTCTTGCTCAGCGCTCCTGAAAATCTGGCCCGGCCCAGAATAGCATGGACTCATCAACGATGACCCAGCCTCTGCGTTCGGCTAATTACGTCACTCCGTTTAGTATTCTACAGATGCGAACCCCTTTGTAGGGCCACGCAAACAAAACGTGCGAGCCTAGCTTGTTCGGATGGGCTATTAGGCCTTGTAAAACCCCATAACCAAGCCTGCAAAGGGCCTTTTTAAGGGGCGACAGTATAGGCTATCCTAGCACATCCTGGACTGGCTCACGTAAATTCCAACAAGATCCAACTAGAGGCCGTATGCCTCAAGGGTCCCAACAACCGTGAAGCTTGAGACTCCATTTAGGATCGACAGACCCAAAACCTGTGAAGCAACCTAGAAACCCTAAACCCTAAACCCTAAACCCTGCATGAACCCTGAAGGCCACGCTCTAGAATCCTTGTCTCCGGGTGTTCTGCTGCCAGGCGCAGCATGCTCCGTTATCCAGGCCTGTCGAAGGGTGCTCAGAGGTGGAAAATATTACATATATGTACACATACAGAAACATATATGCAAATGCACAAATGCAAAAACACAATTATTTTTACTTCGAACATCCCCACCTTAGCGCTCCAGGGTCTCCGCGTTGGACACTCCAAGGAAGTCTCTGGGCCCCCCCCACCCCCACCCCCCCCCCCCCCCCCCCCCCCCCCCCCCCCCCCCCCCCCCCCCCCCCCCCCCCCCCCCCCCCCCCCCACCGGAAAAAAGGCCACTGGGAGGGGTCCTTGAGCCGGGAGGGGTCTGGCGTTGGGCACTCCAGGGCTCGGGCATTTGGGGGTTGGGCACTCCAGACTGGGCGAGGAGAAGAGTTCCGACGAGGAGAACAGATCGGGATCATGGCTGAAGGTAAACACATCCGATGTCGGTCTGCGAGTTTTGCACTACTGACTGCCCCTTGCCGAGGGAGAGTGGCAACCGCCTGAGCACCCGACATCCCTCAAAGCAAATTTGCTGCATGTTGGAAAGCGGACTGCTCCTTGCCAAGCCCTATCCAATTCTCCCTGATGCAATAGCTTGTTCCCCCCCCCCCCCCACATCCCCCCCCAAGCCCCCCGACCCCCCCCGACCCCACCCCCCCACCCCCTACCCTCCCCCCCTGAATATAACTTGGAATGCGCAGGCTGCAGGTCCCCTTGGCCTCTATCTCGGATCGCTCCAAGAAGTCGCCCGTTGGATTGTTCGGGTTCACCAAGCCTTGGATACATAGTATGTAAACATAATATAATCAACACTAGAATAATATGTAATAGAAGGATATATATATGTATATCCATATGTTAAATCTATTGATAGATTAATACATTAATACTTCATATATTAATGTATGAATGTATTCATGGACAAATGCATTGATGTATTAATGTATGATTGTATTCATGTATTAATGTATTAATGTAATAATGTATTAATGTATTAATGTATTTGTATTATTGTATTAATTTATTAATGTATTAATGTATTAATGTATTAAATGTATTAAATGTATTAAATGTATTAAATGTATTTATGTATTAGTGTATTAATGTATTAATGTATTAATGTATTAATGTATTAATGTATTAATGTATTAATGTATTCATGTATTAATGTATTAATGTATTAATGTATTAATGTATTAATGTATTAATGTATTAATGTATTAACGTATTAATGTATTCATCTATTAATGTATTAGATATATGTATATATTACTACATGAATCTATTGATCTACATATGTATATCTGTATATTTGATTATACGATTCAACTCATACATCTAATTTGTTAATATGCTAATATAGGAATACGGTAGTGTTTTTCTGTATATATATATATATATTTAGTCTAGTATATCAATATTTGAACCTATTACCATATTCATGCCTCAACACTTGTTGCACAGAACCTGAGTACTGGTACTTGCCGCCATGAAGATTCGCACATGTGGTCAGCGTAGATAGTTAGCTGTAGGGCTCTGTGTACCTTAGCGAAGGCTTAACATGCACTTCCCATGCGAAGCATACTCTGATCCCCGAAGTATTGTTGAACCTTCACTAACTCACCCTGCGCTTCCTGAGGGCAGTGCAGATGACCGAGGCGTCCTGTCTCATGACACCATGGCGTCTGAAAATGTTTTTAGGAGCAAGCTTGGTCTGAAAACTTCCTCTACCATGCACCGATGCACGAACCCTGCCCTTTGAAAGCCCTTTAGCCCAAAACCCTTTGATCCAAAGCCCAAGCAAAGCGCTCCTTGGGATTCTTGGTGCCTCATTGTATTGTCATACAAGTGAGGCTAACTTCCGGGTTTTAAGCACTGCAGCAGGCAGGGTTCCGCCTGATCCCAGGGGCCTTCGCGGACTGTCGTGCCATGGCCTACCTACAAAAAGCTGACTGAGTGCAGCGCATTCTCTCCCTGCGTTGTTGCAGGCCCGCTGGTACCTCCAAATGACACTGGTGCGTGCGGCCCTCCGAAGATATGCAGGCGAATAGGCCCGCTTATATGCAGTGCAAGAGTAGGTCTATGGACACCCTTACCACAAGGAATTGTTTGAATCATGTGGGTCATTGCTTCCTTGTACGCCCATCTCCTCAATACTAAATTTAAAAAAAACCCCTAAACCCGGTGAGAAAGGAACATGAAAAGAAAGCCATCTGCATATAGCTCACTAAGGAAGCTTTGAGCATTTCAAGGGTGTAGCACGCACAAAGTGTCGAGACATCTGTTTGGTTTGCGCTGGAGTCTCATCAGCGAACATGCTGCACACTAAGATGAACTCAGAGCCATGTACCCTAAACCCTAAGCCAGCAACTGTTGGCTTCCGACAGCACAAGAATCGGCGCCACTGGAAGCCCCTATCTGCCCACGGCCAAAGCCCTCGAAGCCCTGAGGCCCCTGGAGCCCTGAGGGCCCCTGTCACGGGCGCCGCAAGAACCCCTGCGCTGACTGTCAGCAAACTGTACAAGCTGTGGCGCTTTTAAGGGGGATCCCTGTTTTCAAATGCCCAAGACTTGGATGTAAAGGTGTGTGACAGCCCAAAACCGAAACGCAGCCCGGCTGAGCATCGCGGCTCTCAGCTGGGCTTCCGGCTCCCGGTACTGAACGTCTGTGAAGGGGTTGAGGCCTGAGGGTTTGGGGTTTGGGGAAACGGCAGCAGAGGGCCGGGGGAGATTAATCATGATTAAGTGGTCGTGGAAGTACCGACGAGTAGGACTCGCTCTTCAACGCCACTTCAAACAAACCTTCAACCCTCCACGCCACAAAGCCAACGACCTTGACAAACCCTATACAGACGTGAAACATCTCAAAGCCTTCACAGCCCTCAGAGCCTGCCCCAAACAATGATCCAAGCCCCGAATGATTGAAGCAAACGAATTCTCTCAAACTCTAAAATCTGCCTACCTCTCTCTGCCGAGCTCCCGGGCAGTACTTCCCCGGTGGGGCGGCTCGAGCCTGGAGAAGGCTACAGGGCTTGGCAGTGAAGGAGGGCAGTCATACCAGCCTAGGAATCAGAGAGCTGCTGCCTTTTTTTGGCTCAATGGGGTTTATCAGGGCACCTAAGTCTAAAACAACAGAGGTGCTCCGCTGCACATCCTAAAAAGCCGCAGCTCGCCCGTCGAAGTGTACCAAGGGGCCAGCTAATAAGTCTATGAGCTCGCTCGCCCCGTTGCCGAAGATCAGCTGGGAACGCGTGGCCTGCTGGGTTGCGTGGCACGATCAAAGTGCAGGGCCTAGGCTGTCACAAGCAATATTTAAAGCGCATCATAGTATCATGCAAACTTTGGGGTGGCCTCGGCACGGGCGTCTCCCCGCAAGAATGCAGCGGTCAGAAGCTCGAGCTCGTCGTCTGCCCGTTTTGGGTAGTGCCTCAGACGCTCCAGACGGACGGAATCACCTGGACATGCCTGGACCTGACATCGCTATGGGCCGCGACTCCGCGACTGCCAGCAACAAGCAGACAGCAGGACTGAGCTGTTGGCTAAGCTTTAAGCTTTGCTTGGCGTGCACTGGTGACTCCCAAGCATTGGGACACTTCAAGAAAGCTTGGTATGCTGCTCGATGGCCGCGTTCGAGGACACATCATTGGAGACGCCTGAAGATGAAACGAGTCACAGATTTCGCAAGGCCCTTTGCACCAACACTTTCTTTAAGACCACGTGGCCCAAGCAAGCATTCAGGCCCTTGGTACCCCATCGCACCTCTTTAATTCTAAGTCTGAGAGTCTCAGACAGTCAGAGAGGCGTAAGGCCGCAGCACACCAGTGACACTGCAACAAAAGAAAGTAGTGTTTGAGGTTCAGGACCTTGCTGAGGCAAATGGCATCACTGTCCAAGCCGAAGTCGAGGCCCGTACATTCGCCTCCCCGGTTGCCGGACAGCCTCTGTGCATTGGACTCACATTTCTACGGCAGGCCGCTCCGTGCCCGCCACTGATCGCCTACCATGGCCAAGTGAGCCCTGTAAGCAGAACGCTGGCCTCGCATCGCCCTTGTCGAAGTGCGCGCTCCAGACGCCTGCGCCTCCATGATCGCCATTGTCAAACAGCCGCCTGACGGACAAGCTCACCTCACTCTCACTCCCAGGATTGGCAGATGACAAACGTGGTGTTGATGGGCTTTGTTCTCAACGGGAAAACAACGAGGAAAGACCTTATCTTTGTAATGAGAAGCCGATGTGCCTAGAATGTGAAGGTGTCCTCAGGCTTGCCATTTGGGCGGAATGTAAAATGTTATCGACGCTTTACTCTTCCCGGCAGTTTTGCCATGTTAACCTGTCTTGAACCCTGACAAACTCTGGCCTGACGGCGTCAAGTCCCGCGGGCACAGGTCCGAGTGCATTTGTGGTGACCTCAGTGAGATGCAACTTGTCTCCGCACTTTGCGTCACCTCTGACACTCCATTCCAACTTCATGGGCTCAAGGTCTGCGATCGAACGCTTGCATGAGCAGACGTGACTAGTCGGCTGCATGCTGATAATACCCGGATTGGGTAATGCTTCTGCCTCAGCCGTACTTCCTAAGCCTTGCT